CGGCAAGTACCAAAAATAAAAGTATCGGTATCGGGCGAGTACTGAAAAAAGTGGTATCGGTGCATCCCTAATTACTAGTATATATAATATAGTAAATATAATATAATGTGTATAAATATATAAATATACATATATTTATACAAATTAGATGTTTAATTAATATAAATACAAATATTTTATATAACATAACATCAAAAAATATTTTTGATTTTAGCAATTGTATTATATAATTGTATATATTTTTAATCATTTCATAATTATTTTAAATATAAAAAGTGTTTTCCACCTCTATATATTTCGGACAAATTTATACAATGATATATAAAAAAGAAACTGTTTTTGGTAGGTTAAGTAAATAAGTAAAACAAGGGTCTGCATGACATAATTTTGTTATTTAGTTAGGATGGAAATTACTCTCCAAAAAAAAAGCCTATTTACAAAGTGATTTGAGATTTAGATTTAGATAATTTTCTTTCTGCAAAGCAATATTCTGAAGCACAGGTCAATGGAGTGCAAGCAGCAATCTTGCTGGAAAGAGACGAAGTTTGCCCAATGCAGTTTCGTTTGACTTTTTCCAAGGACACCTTAATGCTTTCATACCAAATGTTCTCTGAATTTCACTGATGGATCATCAAATACCCCCCCCACGAAAAAAAAATTAAATAATGAATAGGGCTGGAGAACTCATCAAGTGGTGAATAAGTGCCACCTAATAACAACTTTGAAATGCATTGAAAGCCAGGCTTTTCTGTATTCCCCTCGAGGGGTGAAGCTCAGGCTAACAACATGACCCAGCCTCGTTCATTATAAATCTATCGTTCTGCAATGTCAAGGCTGAAAAACTGGCCTGACGACAGTCTCAGTACCCTCCTGAATTGGATTATGTTTTCATACTAACTTGCCGTGTAATCTCTTGACCTATTCTTCTCATCTCATTCCCTGAGTGTACAGGCTGACTTTCCAAACTTCTGAAAGGGTTTTAGAGGTGATGTCAAGAACATTGCAAAATGCATATCAAATTACTTTTTATTTGATCTGGGACTTGAAACAAGGTGCTATAAAAGGAACATGTGAAAAGTCGAATGTGAGGTTACAACAAACCATATTTCGGCTCACAGGGGACGTGATTAAGGATGAACCAAAATACCTGAGAGGTTTAAATTCAGCACAGCACACTAAGCAGTTCAGAAATATAATTGCATTCAAGTGCATCCTCAAGTGCGTAGTAAAGCATGCAGTTCATGTTCAATGCTTCCATTTGCATTAATATAAGATTATATTTGCATAAGAAGGAAATTGGTGAGAATTACCTGGGAGGCGCAAGTTGACCACCCTGTCAAAAAGGTTTCTTTCTGCCGTGACTCTATTTAACACCTGGTTCAGGAGCTGCAGAAAGACAATAAAAAACAAATGTTGTCAAACCTAAACTTAGTATAAAAAGAAATGTAACCAGAGGTGTGAAAGTTCTCCTAACTAAAGAAAATGTTTACCTAAAAAAAACACACACAAGATGAAAAAAAAAACAAACAAAAAAATCTAAAACTGCATTACAAACAAGCAAAACAAAACAAAAACAAAGCAAAGCAAGGCAAAAACAAAACAAAAAACAACATAAAACAAAAACACAAAGCAAAGCAAAACAAAAACTAAGGGGTAAACTATCCCTTTAACATGAACAGATGTAACCTGCTCCGGTCCGAAAGGGTTTCGGTGAGCAAATCAAACACATCTGGTCATAAATCAAAGTGACCAGACCGCAATAATTATTCCCTTCGCTCCTTTAGCACGCCACTTGGACTTAGCATCTTACGCCCGAGAATTTAATTCAGAGGTACTAAGCTGCTAGGTTCCAATTATTGACTTTCACTATAGTACATTGCATGTAATTGCATTCAAAGATAGGATAAATCCTTTAGGGACAGGAAAAAACGCAAATGGATAAGTATGCTTGAGGTGGGAGTTCTGCTATAAAGGACATGTGGATGCCTGCTGTGCTCACAGGTGTGTTTCAGTTAAAGCCTGATTACAAGCCGCAGGTGAATGGATGCTCCGCTGGGAATAGAGCCCATGTAAGCGCTGCAAGAAAAACCCACCAGAGAACACATTTTCAAAGCCTTCTCCTCCATAATTGAGGCCTTGAAAACATGCAGTAGCCCTGAGAACAATATTCACTCGCTCCTCACTTGCATGGCACTTTCCATGAGTAGAGTGCAAAATAGCATCTGAAAATTAAAAAGGAGGTTCGTAATCTTCTGAAAATAGTAAAATGTTAAATGATAATTAACCTCAGGACGTAATGACAATTAATAAAAGTAATTAAATATTATATGAGGTATTTTTTTGGTTTGCACATTTTTTCAACCCTTTTACCAACTTTTGAACATGAATAAAAACCCAGATTTTTGTGATTTCATTATTGCTGGGCAGTAAGCACTAAATATACATCAAAATAAAAACGAACAATATTAAATCAAATGTTAAAAAAAAGCTACATAAGAATGGGTAACAGGGTTGAAAAAACTGCAGATTTTGCATAAATTGAACTGTCAAAACAAAACACTGTTTTACAAATCAACATCACTTGCCTTTTTTTACATTTATATGGCGCTTGCAATTTGTTTCAACCCTGTTACCAAAATTTTGGGCATGAGTACATACAGTTTAAAACCCTGACTTTTGTGATTTCATTATTTCTGAGCAGTATGCATTAAATACACATCAAAATAAAATAACCAATTTTAAATCTAATTTATATAAAATAATAAAATAATAGTAATAATAACAAATGGATGGATAACAGGTAGGCCTGTCTTACTTCATCTAACCGTGGTCATTTCAGACAACCGCGATTATTGTGCTACTTTAGCAGCCACAAGAACGCGTATTTCTAAACATGGAGCAGCGGTATTGCTCATTTGCCAGCACTGACAATTTAAACCTGACATGATTGAGAACAAACAACAGTTCATTTTCGTTAGTTATTTTGCCTACGGGTCGTTAGATCTAGCATTCTGCCAACTAAAAATCAGACAGAGATAAAGCATTGCATTAAGATTGCTTATTTAAATGAATTAGTGAGAAGAGAGAGAACAGGGCTGTGCGTGTGTGAGCTGTGCGTCTCTCTACTAACAGTGAAGTTTATAACTTATAAAACAGTGATGTTTCCATCTCGTCGCTGAGAAATATTATGTCTGTGTGCGCTGCTCGATCTCACTGTTCGAGTGACTGTCTGTAGCCGTGTATGTGCGTGTGCTTCAGTAAAGGCGGCGCATTCATTTAGAGCGGTGATTAAATTGACTTCGGACGGGACACTAAAAACAGACGCAGAGAGGAAAGAATTGACACGACAGCAGAAAATACTGTACAGACACAGCAAGCTCACTGTTCACGATACTCGAAATATTAGAAGAAAAATATAAATATTGACGTGGGGGTTTATATGAACGTATCTTTGAAAGGAACTGACTGTTTTCAGAAACGTTTCGATGTTATTTTGTCCCTCTTACCTCTGTATAATGCATATTAAAGTAGTGTTTGAAAGCTCAGCGCTTCTTTGTTTACAGCGGTACACAGGGAACTGTACTGCTGCTGTTCCATAAGCACCACCTGCTGCCAGAGAGTGAATTTGCGTTGTGAATTTCTCTGCTGTTTTTGTTTTGTGCAAATTTTTTAAGGAATTATAAATTGCAGTGGTTGCTTCTAATGTTAACACTCCTTCGTAACAATTATTTAATGTGCATAAAAAATTTATGACAAAGCCATAAAACAGACAATTACCATAATAATCATAATCGTCAATGTGCAAAAACAGACAATTAAACGGCATAATCACAATTATTTCTTAGACAATTCATCGTCAGCCAAATTTCATAATCGTGACAACCCTAATAACAGGGTTGCAAAAACTGCAGATTCAACTTAAAAACAACTGTCAGCCAATAGGTGTTAGCTAATTTTGCCTTAAACATTAGACTTTAGGTATTGATAAGCTTATATTTCCTATAATTGTTGTTGTTTTTTTTGTTTTTTTTACAATAACTTAATAGGGTTGAATAGTTGAGCAAGTGCAGTCAAATAAAGAAAACAGAATAAGTTTTACGTGTTTTCACTCAATGCCATAGATTCACTCACTAACTAACTAACTAAATGCATAAATACATACATACACACATGAGATTTGTAACAGTTAATAGTTTGATAATAGTTTTAAGTAATGGAAAATTAAAGTGTACCCTATATGTGGAAAGCACCACATATACTGTCCATAAACAAACATTTATTTAAAAAAAAAAGTGCTCATAAAGTTGAAAAGCATCAAATAGCTTTCATCCTTTTTCTAATAATGACTGCCCTCCCCTCCATCACCCTTGTAAGAACTTTTATGGTTTGACAAAATGACTTCATTTGTGGATCAATAAACCCTGTCCATTAGCTTCCATCCAGATTCTCTGCGCTGCTGAGCTATGATACTTTATGCTTTAAATTGGCTATATTCTACAATTTAATAACATTTGGGGGGGATTCACAAAGAACGAATCGTGTCCATTGATAGTCTTGTTTTTCACACAATGTCTCTGTTTCTGAAGCACCCAATTCACTAAAAGAATAAACGCAAACATGGTCCAAAAAAAAATGAAACAACAACTGTATCTTTAATTTATTAAACAAACAAAAACTAATAATAATAACAATGGAACATAATAACGTAGGACTATAGAGGAAGGTTCTGAGATATTGTCTGCGCAGATAGTAGACCAGTCTAGTTACTACATAGTACACTGACCTCTTATTTCAAAAGATGAAAATGAGTTTTTTCATGTTATGACGCTCTCTTGAACAGCTTCATAAATTTTCTTAGTGTTGTTAATAATTTAGTTTTGGAAAAAGTCAGAGCTGTGCACTGCAGGAGTCTGAGAAAATAAACAGAAATGTTTAATAGCAAATTGCTTCAAACAGGATCATTAACTCAGAGTTCTGCATGAAACTGCTTTAGAAAAATGTTAATGGTGAGCATGAAATAAATTTCATTTTATTCACTTTGCACTTGCATGTTTTGAATGTTGCTTTAAACTTTAGAACAGCATTTACAGAACACATTCCAGCTGTCAATAACGCTCACCTGAGCCAATCGGCGCAGCAGCAGCTCGGCGGAGGGGCGGGTCCAGTCCAGGAATATTTCCGGCACTAGAGTGATGGTCATCTCCAGGACCCGTAACAGACTGACAGAGAGGTCAAAACAGGTCGCGCACACCTTTAACTGCCGCGTGTCCACGAAATTCCGCTCAGGCCGCTCAGCTGCCTGCTGGATCTGACAGGAAATAAATGAAGACATGAAGAGACACAATAAGAAGACACAGGGAGGTCAAAAGAGATATTATGAGACTACTCAGATGGGTCCAATGTTCCCTCTATTTTGCTGAGCAAAACTTTTCTCTATTGGGTAGACATTTCAGCCACCTGAGTAAAAACATTCTTTATACAAGTACCTGTAAAGCACACACACAAAAAAAGTGTGAAACTTTTAACTTAAATGTGCTATTTATATTTGATTTGACACTTGATGTAACTAAATGATGCACATTTTAGGTTATCTGAGACATTTTTTTGTTACCAAGAAAAACTATTAAACATTTTTTTTTTTAATCTCAAGCAGAACAGTTTAAGTTATTAAAATAAAATAAAATAAAGATATGAAAAAAATATGAAAAAATGAAGCAGATATTACTCATGAATTCCCTTTTTGAGGTCAGTTATTTGTTAGGTTTATAATAAAATACATAAAAACAAACTGAAGCATTTAAACTGATAGAACAGAATAGAACAGAACAAAATAGAATATAATATAATCTAATAGAATAGAACACAAAGTGAAGCATTTAAACTGAGATCTGTAAGATAAATATTTTCAAAAAACATGAAAGTGAATTCTTATATAGTTATCTAAGCATCCCTATAGTAGAGTTTGCACACCACTACAACTGCGTGTAACTGTAAATGTCTCTGAGTTTTGTCAATGTTCTGTGCCCATCATCTGCTATTTCCAGCACTTAATCAAGCCCCTCTTCTTTAAAACATGATGACGTTTTATTTCATAGCTCTTTATTTCGTTAGCTCTCGTGTTGAGCTATTTCGTCCGCAACCATTAATGTATTCGATTTCTACAGCGACTCATTTGGTGCACATCATTCTCTTTCTATGAAACATGTAAACCACATTCACCGGTTCTAACTCTATAGTGGTTTGCCCGAGAATTGCAATTATTTCGCATTTACTAGCTTTCTGAACTCATTTTTGTGACTGTATGCATTGTTGCACGGAATGAGGTAAAATAAGACCCAATGACAGTCAACTTATTAAAGTTCATATTAGAGGAACAGCAATACATTGAGGATAAGACCATAGGCTTTTAATTTAGCAAAGGACTCAGAATACTCCAGCAACCAGCCTGCAACACCCCATCAACCCCCTGCAACCACATAGCAGCACTCCAGCAACCCATGCAAACACATAGCAACACCCCTGCAACCACCCAACTACCACATAGCAACACCCCAGCAACCAGCCTGCAATCGCCCAGCAACCACCCTGCAACCCTCCAACAAACACAAAGCAACACCCCATCAACCCACCCACAACCACGCAGCAACCACACAGTAACACCCCTGCAAACCCATAGCAACACCCCAGCAACCCCCTGTAACAACCCAGCAACCACATAGCAACACCCTAGCAACACCTCACAACCACATAGCAACACCCCAGCAACCAGCTTGCAATCACATAGCTACCCCAAACAAATCATCCTTCAACCACCCTGCAACCACATAGCAACAACCCAACAACCACATAGCAACACCCTGCAACCACCCTGCAGCCACATAGCAACACCCCAGCAACCAGCTTGCAATCACACAGCAACCCTCAAGCAAACCCCCTGCAATCACATAGTAACACCTCAGCAACCACCCTGCAACCACATAGCAACACCCCAGCAACCACCCAGCAGCCACATAGCAACACCCCAGCAACCAGCTTGCAATCACATACAACTGTGAATGTTTCAGACAACCGCGATAATTGTGCTTTACGACACAAGGGGGAGTCATACACCAAAAGAAACAGAAGAGCACCAGTTTGCTTTTCATGCACTGTATAGCCTATACAGGGCTCCAGACTCATTCTTCCCACTGGTCGCTCTTTTGCAACTAACTTTCTCAGCTGGTCGCACGAGCACATACATGATTTGGTC